TTCGTGGAAAGCGCAAAATTGTTCTCTGGAACTCGATGCGTCAACTGATGCTCGTGAATGAAACGATTGGTAAGCATACGATCGGAACATGTCGTTCCCGAAATCATTCCGATCGTGAGTCGTGAGACCTTAATCTTGTGTCCGGTTTGACCGATTGGCTAATCCCCTGTGCGGAGACCGAATAGTGGAGACGAGCATGGGCACTCGCAACGAGAGCCGTCTCGAAGATCGAACGTTTGAAGGTCGAGACCCGCCAGTGGTGGATCCGGGGAGTCTTGACTGGCTCAACTCCCTCATGGGGAGCACTCAGACACCACTTCGTAACCCGGCAGCTTCCCTGGATTCTTTAATGATCGATAGCTCCCGAGCGGTAGCAGATTCGTGGAGATACTTGAGTTCGGGATCTTATTCTCTTCACCGATCAATAGGATTCGGTATCGGGTCCGGCGGAGCAAATATCAGAAGGGAGAGGAATCCTTCGCGTTCCTGAGAGCGACCCGGCTGGCAAACTCGCCTAGGGATTGACGGACGAGACGAACACTAAGCTTACCCTAAGAGAAGACAAGCCGATCCATCCTGCGAGGGTCGCGGCGAATTTTGAAAAGAAGAAACACTGAAGAAGGCTCACACAGATCGTTCCCACGGTCGGAAGTCCGAGCCAAGAATCCGCTCGTCGGCTTGGAAAGAGGAACTCCGAATTCCGTCAAAACGAAACGATCGATGCAATCGATAGGGAAATCTCGCCTTTCGATCAGGTCGAAACTGGTGAAATTGATGAAAAATTTAGGTGATACGTCGGATCTCGCCGAGCGAGAGTGTCCACAAAACTTTGAAAGATACAAGACGATTGGCTGCTCATGGGATTGAGGTTAATTCTGCGGGTGTCGATACGATCACGGTTTCGATGTATGACAGGTCGATGACGGTGATCCATCGGCGGCTCGGAGAACTATAGGAGGGATAGATAGATCGCCTCCGTGCAGACTCACCGGAAGTTTCGTCGAACTTCAAGGGCTTAGTACGCCTTTCTGGACCTTGCTCCTCTAAATAACGGGCTGTTCATGATTGTTGAGCCTCTTCCTAGACGTCGAATTCAAAGAAGAGTCTCGAGATTCTGAAAGTCGGATCCGCTGACACGAGCGGTTCTGCCGACATGCTGAACCTGATCGCTCCAACCGAGCTGCTCGTCCACAGATGCAAAGCCCGCTTGCAGCTATGCAAGAGTGTGCTCCGGATGTGACATATACCCCCTCCAATCGCACCATCGCTGCAACAATCGGAGGAGTCGCATCAGGTGAAACCTGGTCCAACTGATGTTCAGGCTCGAGCTCTTCTGCTGAACTAACACTTTCGGCCGCAAAATTTGCACTTATCCGGGGTTGACTCCCGGCTTGAGTTGAGGAGAGCTTGATTACGAGAGGGAATGCGGGTCCGATGACATGGGAATCTTCGAGCGATTCCCGGGATGATGTCACCAGCGACCGATTACATTCGGGCGACCGCTCTCCAACGAGTCAATAGAGAGGACTTTCAGGAGAATCAATGATTTTCTCGAGCGACTAACTGGACAGATATGGATCGAGTGAACATATTTCTCCGTCTACCGCATCGAATTCAGTATACCAGAAGGTCGTTTTCCGACGCTATCCGTTCTCTCTTTAAGAGGAATCTTTGATTGAGTGGTACTTTCCATCACACCTTCTCATCCTCGAGAGATTGTACGAATGTAGGAGTCCAACCGTTGATCCAACCGCAGGTGCCTCCAGAATCATTGCGATATCCAGAAATTTTTATTCAAGGAAAGTTTTCCTTGTCGTCAAGGTGCGCGATTACACAGATTTCCCGAATAGCTCTCCCAGTGCGACTCACTCCCATAGCGGGCAGTCCAGCTCCCCTACTCCGCCCCAGGCTCTTGGAGCCGACCTCGAGGCGCTCAAAGTATCTCCAATCGCCCGAGGTGCTCTAGCAAAAGAATTTCCGTCAGATTCCCCATGAGCTCCCCAAGGCATTCGGCCTCGACGATTTTCATTAGAGAAGCAAGGTCATTATTCCCGCTATGTACATACCTAGATTGAGCTGCTCGGAGCATCTCATCCGCCGGGTCTCTTCTCAGCTCGGCGTCGTCCCCCGCCTCCAGAATCGTGGATGATTCCGTGATTCTGGTACCACAGCGCACGGTGGAACGAGAAAGATCGGGCGAATTCGAGCCCAACTGGATTCGGCAACTCAATGCCGATTTGCAGCAACTGTCGAGCTTGCAGCGATGGCAGACGGGGAGGAGCAATCTAGAGGCTTCCTGCATCGTTTCCGGCTCCCTCGAGCCCAAGATAGGCACGAGAATCACAGCGGAAGGCAAAACAGGAAACCCTACGAGCTACTGCTCGCTCGTTCGTCTGCCAGCCGTCTAGTCTTGAGTACCCAAAGGTTCCTTGATAATGATTCGTGCCGAGACTGAATCGGAGCATCTCGCTTAAACATTGAGTCTCGAATCCATGATCGTTGTGGCCAGCTTCGAACGCGGAGCGCTGATCTAGGGCCATTCACGGCTGCATGGAGCCACAAAGCTAGAGGGAAGTCTTTAATATAATTTCAATTACCTATTATAACTATCCCCTTGACAAATTGGGGAAATCTAACTCTCGGGAGAAGGGGGAATGGGAGAGGGGGGAATGGGAGAAGGGGGAACGGGAGAACTGGGAAACGATAGGGCGGGAAACGGGAGAACGGGGAAACGGGAGACCTGGGGAACGGGAGAACGGGTGAGGGAAACGGACTGAGCCGGAAGCCGAAAACCTGATTCTCTCAGTCTGATTCTCGAAATACCGGGAGGAAAACTCAGTCTCTGTCGTTTGTTGTACCCTCGGGATTTGATTGTCGCAGCGAAGCGCGACGGGTATCGCTAGTATTGCATAAGAATTCATATCCTGGGCTTTTTCGCCCGAAAATGCATTTTCCGGGCTTCGAAGCATAAATCCGCATATCCCATATTTTCCCCGCCGATTCTCGCGGAATCCGACTCTGAGAGCGACGTACAGCCTCCCCAGCCAATTTTGACAAGATGGGGTCCTCGGTTAAACGCAGCGGTTTATTACGCCGACCACTCCGATTCATTTCCGAAGGTTTCGGACGCTCTGGACGTCAGTGAAGCTGCGAGCATCGGAGCGGCTGCTCAATAAATGAGAAAGCCCTCTATGTAAGAGGAAATCTCGCTTTTATAAAAGCAAACTTCGGAGAACTTCCGCATGCCAGAAACTGGAAACGAAGGGACTGTCAGAGGTAGAAAGCGTGGGTATCTTTGAGGCGCTTGTGAGAGGTCTCAAGAAATCACCCGGTGATGTTGGGGATTCAGTCCGTAGGAAATGCGATGCGGTTGTGATTCGTAATGGCGGCTTCAGCATTCAGAAGGATATCAGGACGTACTACAGGAGGGGCAGCTCCGCGGATCGTCTCATTGGCCGCGACCTGTCGGAGACTGCCTGCTTCAAGTACGCATCGATCACGTCGCTTGATGAGGGGAGCTTCTCTAGTTTGAAGCACCTTCTCAACGACCGATCTCATTGTCTACTGTAAGCCGTAATTTAAATTGTGCTTGCATGAAGCAGGAGTCATCAAGCATTGAGCCAATCTAAAAGAGTATCATAAAAGCTGCACGAAGCTGCACCAACGACTATCACTATGCGTACAGAGACGTAATGCGGCTTCCGTCACGGGAACCATGGCCGCTTACAAGGGACCCGCTATGGAACTGCCTTTTTCTATGCATATGTCGGCATTTTTTCAGGGCATATTTTGCATGCGTATTTCCGGATTTTATTGGGCATCAAGTAACGGGCTCCATTTATATTTATTAACAATCATGTATTTCGAGACAACCCTAATTAATTTCCCTCAACACCGGGACGTGCTAACTCCAGGTACGAACTCTCGGGTTTCGGGGACCGTCTTCATGTCTCGACACACCGTATACTCGGCATCTGTGCTCGTACACTGCTATCGAGTTCTATCAGAGCTCTCGATGCCCAAACGTGGTGTACAGATTGTACTCCGATCGCTCACGAAAGCTGCCCGACCTTGATCCATTAGCCTCCACGCTTCTTCTCGATCAGGTGGGAGTCGTGTCGTTGAACTTCCACGTACGGTTGAGGTTGTTCATCCCGTTCGTAGAACGGTTTCCCAAGATCGCCGTCACTCATTATGTTCCAATTACTCGCTGGCGTTCGCTCTTATCCAGCGAAGGGCGACGCTGGACGACGCATGGACTTCCCATTCCAGGAAGCATGTTCAGTATTCGGGAGCCCACGGGAAACTGCTCGTCCTCTCCCCTGAGAAGGGTGGTCCTATTGAGTCCCGTATAACTAACGGATCGCTCAAGGAACGCTCGCAATGATGAATGTCTTCGAACGGACACCCTGGTCCGCCGCAGGATCCGATTATTGTCACCGAGACGGGAGTCTCGAACTTTGACATTCTTGCCATATGGATTATTCAGAGAGGGAAATCGTTCAGACTGACTAGGCGATCATCGGCGGGTGCGACCGGAGATTCCTCCAGCGAGGATCGAATGACTGCCGGAAGGACATTGAAGCTGGAAGGAGACAGCAAACAGGACCTCCATGTTCCGCTGCAGAAGAGATTCTCCAGAAGACTGCAACGGATTCACATAATCTCTTTCCACATCGAGACGAAGGCGAAATGATTCACCAGCCTCGGGTTCTACGGCGTCATGACTCTCCAGATTCGAGGCCCCCGATATACGGCGTTGAGCACGGAAGATAAATTATGCGCTCAGAGAACGAACGCTCTTTTCGAACAGATTCGGGAGAAGGGCGACTTAGAAAACATCTGTTTTTTTTTCCTAGCGTGGTATAAGCACGGGGAGCATTCTCCGAGAGAGGGCCAGCAGCCTCCCGGTTATACAGACGGAAGCTGAGGGCGCACCGAGCGCGATTCGAACTTTGAACCATACATCGGACCAGTCTCCGTTTTATTCTCAAGCGTTTAGTCGAGTCCGAGAGATCGACGAACACGTTCAGGATAACCGCGAACGCTCTTGTTTCGGACGGTTTCTGATGACGCCGCGGTCAATCGTCTGGGATCAACACATTTATCACAGTGAGTAGGGAGCAAGTTTCTCCTAGAGTCTTGTTTTCTTTTTTTTCGTATCCGCTCCTCGCATTCATGGTGAAATGAGGGGGGGGGGGTCAGCTACAGCTGATAGCTTCTGGGAGCTCCGTGTTTGACGAATCGTACGAATAGAGAATGACTGATTCACGGTGTCGGTCCCACTCATGTTTCTTCTTCTAAGCTTCTTTCGTGTGAGCAGATAATTGCTCGGTCTTTCTTAGTCACTGCCATGATCTGGGATTAGTCCCACCTTAAGACTTCCCACCCGATCGTGTTCGTCTCCCGAAGCCAGAGTTCTTGCCGGGATGAGTCCGCTCTGGAATCGTTCGCGATGCGTGTCTCGGGTTTTGTTCTTTCTTAAGACGAAGGATTTCACGGACTAAAACGACACAGAGTCAATGTGTCACGATCTCATCGGATTGTCTTTGTCTTTTATCAGATGGTGTATTCATTCGGTGCGCAGTTAAACATGTTCGGATCTCGAGCAAACGAACCACGTTTCAAACTGCTCGATCGGACTGACCTGAGCGCCGTGGACCCTGGACCAATGATGAAAAGTTCGAGTTTTGCGGGAAGCCCAAACTTCGACCAAGTGGAGGTAGGTGGAGCTTGACCCCGTCTTCCCGCGGGGAGCGATGCGGCAGTATTTTCGCTGGGGGCTCCGCGCGAGCACCGCCTGCGATCGCCAGGAATGGCAGGTGCCTGCGGCTTCCGAAATCCTTTGAGCTCTTCCCGAACGCTGGTCATTCATTTCGTCTTTCACAAAATCGAAAGGCCACACGATTCATTAGTTTCAATTGTATTTTGCCCTCCGAACGGCCGCGAGCTTGAACCTTGTTACGAAAGTCGGCATGATACATTTTGAATATCGTTAGCAGTCGGACTGATTATGCATTCTCGCCCGGGCCCGATTGCCTTCCGGAGCCGCAGAATTCTGGTCCAGTCTGTCGAGATTGATAGCGCGTACTGGTCCGAATATCGGATCGTTCATTGAATTATTTTTATGCTCTCTTTTGGAGACGTTGACGAATGATTAATAACGCATTCTTTTCCTCGATTTAATGATGAGAGTTCTGTGATACAGTCGCCGACCCACCGGGGTGCTCGCTCGACCGTGTTCGGAAGCATCAACGTTTTTCATAGAACTCAACCTTCGGAATATTGGGAGCGTTAAGCAATGTTCACTTCCTATTATCCAATTCTCTCCGCGTAACGTGAATTCACTGGATTCCATGACTATCTGTTGGATCATCGTTGCGCAAGAATCTTAGCTCCAATTCGTACGAGGAGCAGCATGGGAGGGCTAAGGGAAAATGTCTTGTGAGGATTGAGGAAGACTGCACGATTTCAGACCGACGTTCCGGAGTCAATCGTGCCCCGAGACGCTCCCCTAAGACGAGCCTCTGAATCAGTGGGAAAACTCGGTGATGACTCATAGAGTCTTCTCCTTTTTTTTTAGAATTTTGCCATATTTATTGGAAGGGATGAGTGATGAGTCAAGAGCGGCCTAGCCGACCCCCACATGGTCAGGCCCAGATGGTAGCGGACCACTGACGGCTGCCCCGTTCCCCCGTTGGATTTTTTTCTCCTTGTTTCTTGTTTTTCGAATTTCCCGCGTTACTCGTTGATCCCGAGTACTTCTTCTTGGGTCCAAATTGTGGGCATACCCCGTTGTGCCATACCGTACGTATGAATCTCACGGAGAGAGCTCCATATTCTTTGTTTCGGCTTTGTTAGGTGTTCTCTGTGGTGGACCACAAAGATTCGTGCTCGAGACCAGATATAGACAGACGTATAAGATCCGGACTCATTAGGAGTCAGACGGACAAGTAGATTGATGTCGATGTAGATGTCGGCACTACGGAAATAAATACCTATGCGGCCGAACCTACTTCGGTGGAAGCAACCTTCATACCGAAGTGAGTTCCTGAATACTCTGTTCGTTTGCGACCGCCGTATTTGCGAAATCTCCCTCCCTTGGACGTAAAACTAGTCAGCATCTCTGTTCCTGATTGATATGTGCGCGAATTCTTTGTAAACATTGTATCACTGATAAGCGGTCTCTATAAAATCCTGCATAAGTCACTATGACTTGGGATTGTCACGTCAGAAACTCTGTCATTCAACGGTCGATTGTATTTCTGCGAATTCGACGGTGATACGTGGCCAGAAAATCAATACGTTCAAAGGTTTCTCAATCATTCTTCGCTTGTCGACGAAAACTTTCCAGGAGGAGAGGTCTAGAAGGCTTCTTCGCGAGAGCGGGGTTGAGAGCCTGGGACTTCAAGCTTAGGTCATCGCTCCCACTATTCTCTGATGGATTGTAAGGCCGATACCCGCTTACCCGTGCATGCCGTTGTGTCAGATGCGGGTCGTGGCTACGGTTAATCCACAACGGTCGATGACGTAGGGCTCGATGCACATCTGGAACTCTCCGTTATTTAGCGGGAGTTGCATTTCCAAGATATGTATATCGATTCTGGGTAATGTTTCGATACCAGAATACTTAAAGTCTACGGGATACGTCTGGGGGTCCAGGATGCGGCTCCCTATCAGCCATGGGGCTCCAGACAGATCAACTTACATCAATAGCCCGATGATCCGTAAGCCACATTGGAGCGACACGGCCCGCATGCCGGCGACTCCAAAATCTATCACGACGGGTATCTAAATCCTGTTGATATGCATGACTGTCCTCTTGCTGCGTTCGTTTCCTCTCTTTTTTTTCTCGAAAAGTAAAAGTCAAGAGGGACAACTTCCGATCCATTTAGCGAGGTTTCGAAGCATGATATCAATTGACTTGACACTTGCTCCTTGAGATTGCGAGACACTTTCATTGTTGTCCACGGTTGGAGCAACACGTCCCGTCGGCGACCGCAGCGTTATCTTCGACAGAATACGTCACTTTACGTACCCTGTGATTTTTACGATGATCCAGCGGATAAAGTCCACGAAGCCTTCACACTTCCTTCAGATTTCGGGAGTTGTGCGACTTGAAGGGTCTTTGGAAGAAATTTCGCATCTGGGTTGACTTTCTGTAAACTCCAACTAGGAGGGGAACGAAAATATCAATTTAGACGTTGGATGTACGGAAAAAAAACTTAATAGTTCCAATTACATGCGATTACTCCAACACCGGACTTTCAATCCGAAGCACCGAAGCGATCAGACAAGCCAAGGCATATATCGCGAATGAGCTCCTGGCGAAAATTTGTCCGTCACAACACCGTCGTGTCGCCATAAATCCTAAAATTTACGAACCTGCCGATGAACATAGCAGAAACTGTGTTAGGGCCGCTGATTGTTGATTTTTTGGAGGATTCGTTCAAGGAATCTTGTCAAACGTTCTAATGGATCACTCTAATCAAATACCACTCTGAACAAACATACCGAGCAGCGGTCCTGGGTCGCTCCCGGAAGCGAGGGAAGATCAGCGCTTCTGCATATAAGGGAGCAAAACTTCGCAGATCTTACATCATCCCAAGCAAGCATGGATTCGATTTTTTTGGGATCAGAATACTTTCCACATCCGTTCTCGACGGATGTCGTATAAGATCGCGCGGCGTATATTCACACCGCTCCGACACTCAGATAGAGCACTTGACCACAATACGTTCAGAACTGATCCCATGGTTACTAGGGGCCATTGGTTTCAATGGTGATAGAGCGCCGGGTGTCAGATATACACGCATTGTTCCGATTAAGGAACTGTTTCCATTGTATTATGTCTTCCATCCCGTACGAATGATTGAATACGCGCAACGAATGAAGTTTCTGTGAACGGTATATCTATGCTACTAAAAAATCGATAGGGCCGCTGTGATCGCCGCCGTACACAATTAATTATCTTCTAGCAGATGGAGGGCTGGCCGCGGAAAGGGCCGAGTGATAAATCAATTCAATACGTCGTTAAAGAGGTCCTACGCATAATCGCGACATTTGTCATCCGGGATGGGTCACGGGGAAGGGTACGAAGGATCACTCGCGCCGAGATCGTCCCCCAAAGTATCCCGCGTGCCAAAAACCAGGAAAATCCTCGGTCTCGAGTCTCGATTGACTCGAACCTCTCCATGAGCGGAAGAGTTCTCGATCATTCCCATTGACTCAATGAGAAAGATTATATGCGGCGATTTTACAATTCAGGTGCATTTGTTCTGGTTGAACGTATATTGAAGTTTCCAGAGCGAAAACGTCGCCCTCAAGGCCCACGACGGCGTACAGCCTTTGATATCACCGTGAAGCGGTCCTTCTGTCGAACGAGTGTCTTTCGAAGGATCTATCGATGGATCGATCGATCAATTCGCGCGGACATCATCGTTCAGCGCGGCTAATATCGATATATTCTTCATCCGATTCCGTCCGAATTCCCGAAACTTTTAATCTATTGTACTTACAGCAAGGACTTGTTGTACAAGCTCCGTAGCGCTCTTCAAAATCCCATTCTTGCGGAATCTGATTGGTTTGATTCCAAACAGCTTTTGGGACCCTCCCCTTGGAAGTTTTCGCGTGCCGATTGCGTCGGCGCGGCGTTCGACCATCCGCTCCGAACAGTTCACTCCGGACTCAGGTTTGAGAGGGAACTCTCTTCCCTCATTCATTGACTGGCTGAGTCGAGTGATCCGATTAATGCCGTACGACCTCAGAGAAGAAAGTATATCCGAGAGGTATTCCGAATCGTTCCGCCATAATTTGTCCACACGGATATCGTCACAAAAAATTAACGGCCATTGCTCGGTGACTGATTGAATAATTTGTCCCCGAAGCCTTTGACGCACCAGAGAACTCTGAAATGCGCCGCTTCTAAAATCAATGGCTGAAAAACGCTCATAAACTTCACAGTGTACCGGCTGAATCGCCTGAGGACATCGCAACGGAAGGGGTGTCGCCCCAAAGCACTTGTCTTGCATCCCCTTTCCTCGTGCGGAGACTGACTGGCTGACTGACAAGCGTCGAGAAAGAAACCGTCTGTAACGATCGTTGTGTCTGTCCACTCTGCTCGGGTTGATAACCGGACCCGACAAATCAATTCGATCCAAGTGCAACCTGAGCCTCGGTGCATTCTGTCCGTGAATCTTGCCCGTGAGTGTTGTAACAAGGGAATCGCATGGCTAGCTCGAAACAGCTAAGAATAGGTTGATCGAGCGCACGGCCCATGCTAAAGAGCCAATCTGAGTTGTTTTCATCACCTCCTAACAAATTGGCGCGTATCATTGATTCAGACAGATTCGCCTCTGGACACTGGCTTGGCCGCCCGTTCTGGATGTTCTCTGACACTGAAATACTGCCTCTGCTTGAGTCGTTTTTCGAATCATCCAAAGAGGAGTGACGATGACTTTCGAGTTCCATACGACAAGCTTACCTGTGCCCCACAATCGCACTCGGAGATCCAGCGTACTGGTGGGTTCCCAATATTTTCAATAGTGACCTCCGGAAACGTACATACTGCGAAGCGGGAGGGCTCAACCGTTTCTCGCTCAGAGCCGATATGTATCGGGAGCTTCACGATGTGAAATACAGGACGCTCAGGGGATTTCATGCTACAGTTTCAAGATGCGCGAGAAGTGAATTGCATGAGTCGTCAGTCCTCGGATTGCAAGGCTCCAACTGAGCGGATTGTCTCTCACGCACAACTCTGAGCCTTCTGATTCCCGCGATTGTCGGTGGTTCACGATACCAGGCTCGAGCGGCAAAGAGGCGGTACAGATTCGTTTCCTTTAGACTAGGATACATTCTGAGTATTGCTCGACTTTTTGTCTTCCCGAAAGCGATCATTCCATTCAGGCAGACTTTCAATTCAAGAGTATCACGGGAATCTCTTCGAGTGAGTACTCGTGATACGCTCGTCGTTCAGATGCAAAGCGCAAGGTTTCAACTTCCGCGTGTAAGCCGACGTTGCTAATTAAATTATTTCCCACCCCCGTGCATAAGTTCGCTGGTACGCTCGATGCCGAGCGGAGCTCTGCGCAACGATTCTAGAGGCTGAGGCTATACAAGTCCCGACTCACGCGAAGAGATATTCTCTTATATGATATTCGGCACGATGCTCGATTCTCCGGAATACATATACGTCAATTCTCTCCACTATCTCACGCGTGTCGGTGGTGGTCGGAGACGTGTCGAGGATTGGGTGATAAAGGATCCACAGTGCCGTGTATCACAATACGAGCATAAATGAGCGAAGCAATCGAATTTACTCTCTTCTGTACAAGAAATCTAGGGGCGTCGCTCGACACCAATCAGAACACATACACACTCTCATTCAAGTGGGTAACACCATTGTTGAGGCACCAAAAGAGTGAAAATGGAGAAGCCTGTGTCATGCCGCCGGTCCTTTGAGACGGATTCTGATTCATACAGGGCATTATCATACAAATCAAAGTATTCGTAAGACGGAGAAGGAGGAGGAGAGAGTACTTTTCTGTGAAAGTCACTATCATGACTTCTTGCTCGCCGTGTTCGGCTTCCACGCACTGTACGAACGCCAAAATTCTGAGCTCAGGCTCGGGGCTGGAATTTTCGAGAATCGTTCGATGACACGCTCCTACTGAGCCGCTTTTTCGAATGGACGATATTCCTCTGCTCCGTCTGAGAAAGCCCTTGCGGTCTCGTGGGACCAGGGAGCACACGGGCGCTAACCGAAACGAGACGGCTGATGCGGACGGTGGAAGATACGCGTGAAGTTCTATCGCGACTTCTGACTCTCCTTCTTGCTCGCCTCGGTCGGTCGGCAAGGGTCAATCTTCAGCGGAGGCGGATTCGATAACTGCCAAGGTCCCGGGTGAGCTTTTCAATCCTTCATCTGAGCATAAGTCCGCATGAAGTCATCAAGATCATTTACGTTCCGATTTGATAATCGCGACGAAGTTCTGTTGAGCACGCCTCGTTCTCAAGATCGTCAGCCTCCGTCGAAATTCGAAATTTTAAAGAGAACACGCATCGATGCCCCGGCCCCAAACCATATCTCTGAACCGGTGGAATGCCTTCCTTGTAGATGATGGACAGAGCTACAAACAAACACAACAAGTCCGTGGAGATCGAAGTGCGGTCCCGCAATCAACCTGGAAGGTGATCTTCGAATTCGACCTCCCGTGCTCGTGTGCGGCATCCGCATCGACGGCGGTGTCGCGGCAACGGAAGAGAGGGTTTTTGTGTCTAGCGAGGGTCACAAAGAAATCTGAAGAAATATCTGAATCTGGAACAGAGACTCGGACGTGACAAGCGGGTTGGTGGCAGTTCCGTCGACGTTCGCTCCCAGCTCATTCCGTATGTGAGCACCGAAATAGAGACTGTGTCTCTCAGGAACAAGACTCGTATTTCCGTCGAAAAAAAGTGGTCCCCGTCCTAGTCCGGACAAAGAGACTTGCGTCGACCGTGTCCCCCGACCTTGCACTCACATCCGAACTGAGGATCTGGGCATGAAGGGAGTCGCTCGTAGTCTCTTTCCTACCTGAACCCGTGCTGCGTGGAATCCATCCCTTTGAGTGCGAGCATTCTGGACGTCTGAACGCATCAGCCATCCCACTTTAAGTGAGCCTCGTGAACTTTCGTGACATCCTGGGTGTGTGCAGGGGAGCGCGTGGATGAAGGTGCCAGGCTCGAGCGCCAGTGCCGGTGAAGAGAACGAAGCCTTCGAGGCTGGGGACGAGGAAGATAAAATCATGCCTCACATGCATGTCAATCCCGCCAGAGTCGCTGGGCGTTGCCTCCGGAGACACCGATCGGTGGATATTGATCTCAGCGATTGCGTCTTATTCGAAGTTCGCTCGATCCAACCAGAGAAGGCACGTGCAACATCTCATTTCGAAAAATATCAGGTGCCGAATAAGAGAACTGATAATTCGTCCCGATCGATTGTGCAACCAATTCGTTGAAGCTCGGGACAGTCTCCGAGGATTCGCCTTCGTTTATTTACGCAATGAATAGAAACGGGGACCAGATTCCTAAGAAGCCCGATGAGGCTTCAGCTCCGCTCGGATTATTTCTAAAGTTTACCAGAGTTTATCGAAAGTGTTATGAGCCGCCGGATCCGATTCACTAGCTTAGCGTCTCGATATCGGATTCGGATATCCCGAAAACACGTATAATCCAGAACTTCTGAACCACCAGCGTCGGAATTTTATTTGTTCCGAGTAAAAAAATCGGGAACTATGTACCACTCGGCTCCTCCGCCTGGTTGATGCGGGAAGCGTTCACCAGCTCGCACAGCAAGCTTTGTCAACTTTTTCCAGCATCCCTTGTAGGAATAATCAGGTCCGAGGTGTGTCTACTCACGCTTCGAAAGCGCTCAGACAAGAGAGTTTCCGAGCGAACATTTAGGCGCAAAGTAGCCGCCAATGATGGCCGAGGGCTATGCAGCTCCTGAGATACTCCTCAATCCGAAACGCTTCTCCGATCCAATACAAATCGAGGCTTCGGGATCTACGGACCTCGATGGATACGGAGTCGAGTTGAGTGAGGACTCGGGTTTTCAAGAGCAACGCGGAAAAGAGGTTGTGGAAGCGACTCATGCGAAAGCAAGGTGTGGAACGATTCAAGACCCGCCAAGTTATCACTGTGCTCGTTTTCATCAGGTATGTTATACGGATCCAGATGGCCAGGAGCTGGCAGCGGACGACCAGACCAAAACATCCGAAATGGACTCGAAGGAGGTGATCAAGGACAAAAACAACCTGGGGAACAATCTGTCTGCTCATAGAGGCCAGTCGGAACTAATTGGTAAGAAGATCGCTTTTCCAGACGTTTACTACTCTGCTTGGTACTAAAAACATCCTTTAGGTCGCCCACGACTGCGGAGAAAAGCGCGTAAAGTTCGTTCGATCCCTCGCTTTTATGCAATATCAGAAGAATGAGTGGTGAGAGCGTAGCTCGCGTAAGCTTATCGAGGCTCGCTGATTCGCACTTTATCTCGAGAAAAACTCGTGACGGCTCTCACCTCTGAATAAATTCAAGGTTGGGAGGTCAGTCGGCTTTCGAGTTGGAAGAGTTTTCGGAAGCATACGAAAACCGAAGATCAATCGATGAAATCAGTCTGCGTGGAGAATCTCCTGTGAAATTTGACGTGTTCTCGGTCCTAGACCGGTGCTTGAATGTCTTCCGAAGAGAAGTTGACCCCGCCAAAATTAACACCTGCCATCGTTGGCAGCAAAAACCGAGACCCTGACAAAGGTATGCGATCCAACGCCTCAGCTCGTTCGACGTCTTTCCGCAGTGGCCGATCTCCTTCGATGTGGAACTTTTTCAACTGATCTTTTCGTTATTTGGGGATTGGGGCCCGATGAGCTCTTTACCGGGCACGGCACGGGGAAACTGGCCTGGGGCGAATGTTTCGGCGGTGGAGTAGCGAGCAGGAGCATGAATATCCTGACTCATGAAGCCGTTCACCTGAATCAATCAGGAATGCGCCGTCACGACCCAAACCTCTCGCGGACGCTTCACGGTCATTGATACTCTCCCACATCCTGATGCTTAGGCAGTTCGCTATGGTGGGACAGGGAAAGGCGAATTTTAGGAATAGGACTCGAGTCCGAAGTCGTGAGCAGATATGAAACGAGAGAATTCTCCAGGGAATTCTGCGGCAGATTCTCTCCGTTCTCATGCACACCCCACGTCCCGTCACGGAGGAAGATATTTGCGTCGAATTTTGTCTTTGAGCAGCGTCGGTTCGATCGTCTCGTGTAACTCGCTCGAAACCCTCATGACGGAGACAGTCTATCCCAGAGACGCATAACGCTCAGTGAGGGTAGTTTCACGGTCGAGCCCCGTGACCGAAAGAGAGAGAGACGGGTTTGTTTATATCAATTAAGGATGTGTTCTCGAAATACTTTCGCGTCCGGGCTGGGTATCTGATCATCATATCAGATCCAGAATGCCGGAATGAAAATCTCCGAGGCGCCGTCGTTCGGAATTCCCCATCAGCAACGACTTCGTTTCGTCGCTGCCAAGTTTTTCGACACCGACACGCGACTGTCTTTTCAGCCATCTTAGATAAGAGTCTGTTCAATCGACGAAGTCTTTTCAATTCATCTTCCCGAGAACGCTCGGAGTTCACATCGCTCGTCAGAGAAAAACCGCGGGTGATTTCTCATTTCACCAGATCGATTTCGGATCCTCTTTTTCGATTCGGAGGATTAATTTCCTCTCAGGTCGGGGTCCCGATTTTTGGCCCGGAGGGCCATCCTGACCTGTTTCCGAATATGTGCCTCACATTTCTAGACCGGGGAGTATGTCTGCGCGTATCATCATATTTAGAAATCGCGGAGCTCGCTCCCGTCAAATGTTCTACAGCTCGAATCCTCTTCCGTGGACCGGAGACCTTCAGTAGGTCGATTCCACCACGAAATTGGGAACGGGCTTCATCCTACCTAATCAAGGAATCCGTGATCGGTAAAAGGAACCCCCATTCTGATCGAGAGACCTTGTTGCTTCCCGAGACACGCAGCGTCGTCGGCGCGGTGAATCTTGAATCTTGGGCTGTGGTGACACCGTCCGTGGAGCACGTTTCGGGCCGAAAGACATTCCTGTTCAGGGACTGTCCGGGAGAAGGTTCCAGCCCATCAATCGCCCAGTTTCTTTCTCGAATAGAGCATCGATCTAGAGTGTGCAGCTTCGAGATCAGATGTCTGGAGTCGTCGAGCCAAATTAATTTCCCGTCCTGCGACCTGGCGCATTAAGAGCAGCTGAGCTGCAGCTGGAACATTCCGATTAGCCGACATCGGTTCAATAATAGCTGTCACGTAGGCGAGATTATCATGATAAGGATCCTGCCCAGAAAACACACGGACATCCCTAGTATTCAATGACGATGTCTCCCGCGCTGCACTTCTTTGCCTCGAAAGTTTTTCGGTTCGACGAAAATCTACTTGCTTTGTCATTCTTTCGAAGTGTTTCGAAACAGACATCGAAATTTCCAGCTTCTGATCCTTGAGTTTTCCGTTGATTGAGCGCCCGTTACAATTCTTGCCCCTCATTCGATCAGACGGAGTTTCGGTCCCTATCATTATTCTACTGCTGGTCTCGTCGGCGTCAGAAAACGATTGGATGAGACAACCACTGTCGATATCAATTGTCACCGTCACCCCTGGACCCTAGACAGCTGCGATCCCTGTGTGGGATCAGGTCTCGGAGATCAAGTCGATCGTCGCAATAACTGCTTACGCAATTACCCATAGGTCACCATCCCGTGAAAAGGGCCTGGAGTGTGAACTGGAGCGTCGACGTGAAGGACAACGAGAGCCGAGCTCCGTCTCCAGACACACCCGTACAGAGCCAGCCAGGGCACGGGATCCCCGGACCTTTGAGCTCTCTCGGCAGTCACGAAGAGAACCCGGGGGACGATGAACACCATCATAAGACGGCTAAGTAAGCTTCCGTTGAACGTTTCGAAATCTCTCTCGGAAATACAGAACAAGAATGAGCGCTCAATCAGAGCTGCGCCGATCCAAGCCTGTGTACTGTCAGCCGGAATAATTTCGTATCACAGTCACGTATGTCTGTAGACGCTTCTTCGGCAACAGCACCCCCGTCCGTAGAGCTTCGCAGATGTTCGACGGATAGATCTTCGAGTAACTTACTCAAGTATCGTGTCGTGTTTACCCTTTAGAAAATATCTCAGTTCGATGCTGAGCACGATCTATTGTGTGTTCCTGGTGTGCATGGGCTCTACGTTCTGCGCGACGGAAAGCATCCTTGAAAAGTTCCACGAACACGAGGTGAGCCGGTGGCTCTTAGAGTCGGCTGCGTGCGATCTTCTGCACCGGAAGCTCTTGTACATATTTTCCAGATGCTCTCGAATCTTCCGTGTTCGATCTTCAGAGGTCACGGCTGGAGTCATTTTCCAGGACCATCAGAACCACTCAGTGAAAATCTTCAGTATTCTCGTCTGCCTCATCGGCATCGGATGGCTACTGGCGCTCCACGTGGACATACTATGGTACAAGCATTCCGCGAGTCGTCAGGTGGGCATATCGGAGCGTGTTATCACAGAACATAAAATTGAGAAAATTCCGACGAGCTTTCCGCGAGATTGTTGAGGGGAACGCCATTCGTCTGCGGAAAGATCCGACTCGCTTTGAGCACGAATCTCAATCACATTGCACGGCTAATTCGTCATGCTCGGATATGTTCTGAATCCGTGCTCGCATCCTCAGGTTCGGAGTCGTACCAGACCCAGTCAAGGAAACCTGTACATGCATTCAACAGCCAGTGTCTTCAAGCAGACGGCGAAACGTAACCTTCAACCACAGCTCTGGTTCCTTGAAGGTCGCCACAGTGGCAGCTTCTATCTCAAAGGTGGAATGGTCGGTGAGTCTCTTTGTAAATCTAGAATCCTCTACGACCGAATGTTTATCTCTGAAAGGAGACGCGACGAGATTCTAGAAGTAGACGCGGAGGGAAGTCAGCGCTCTGATAGGGGAGCGACTGTCGGATCGAGAGCAACATACGACTATGCATCCCGAGGAGTAGTGGCGTGATAGGAGAGTTTAAAATTCAGGACAGGAAGAGTCCGAGGCGGAGATAGACTCGAACGGAATCATTTCTTTTCGCCCGAGCGCGGATTACTCTCCTCCGACCCTCAATGAAAGCCTGTCGCTCGTCGTACATGACGAGACGAAGCAGATTCTCTTATCGACGACCATCGAACAGCGTCGAATTTTCCGAATGCGACCGAACGACGCATTTCGTGAAATTTTCACTTCCACGAGGCTTCATTTTGAAATTCTGACAGCGCAAGCGAGTAGACTAATGGGAAGGATCCGTCATTCATTTCAGTATTCTGTTTTTGCCACTTGATAAACGAAGGACTTCAATTGGAGCAGTTCATTCAGAAGGTATGCACGGATGGAGCGCATACCGATGCTGTTCTTGGAGTGATATTCCACGTACTCCGTCCGATCTACGCATTCTACCAACTCTTCATGGCATTCAAATACTCCAACGTGAGTTGAAGTCCCGTCGAGGACTCGTTATAGGTATCAATAGCAACGAATGTGCGAGCGGGGCGTAGACGAAAAGAATAGACCTCGCGCATGTCCGGTATCCTCCCAGATCGCCAACAATCTAGTTATTCCAGGCTGTACCGTTTCCAGGAACTATGTCAGTGGTGGGGGAAATTCATGTTTTACGAGTCGGCCTTTTTCAGATTGTAATCAACCATTCAAGACATATCGCACGCTTTGGAGCAATGCACCTGATAGCTACCTCACTCTATTTCTGGTTCTTCTCGATAGTTGAAGAGTACAAACACGCAGAGCACGCCTACGATCTCGAGCATGGCCATCTCACTGAGCAAGAGAACTCCTCAGCGGCTTTCCGCGTTGTTTCGACGGTTGCTGACGCTTTGCTGCACGGGTACGTGATAGATTTATTATTGACAAACCTTTTCAGGACCCCGTTGTCTTGCATGATTCAGGATGCTTTCGGGTATTCCAATAAAGATCGTCGGATCGCTTCCCATGAGCTCCGACCATTATAATATCGAAAGGGCGGATCCTTGTCAACCGTATGGAATGACAGTTCCAATTTAGGAAGTAGATAGCGACGCTCCCGCGTTGAAATGAAACATAATTCATCACAAATATTCTGGATTGTGACCTGACGGACAGTTCCCCGCCTCCAAATCACCGTTCGATTTGACGGATTTTTTTGGCGGAGCGAAATGATTCCAAACAAACGTGGGCAGAGTGTTTCTGGCAATCGGACCTATGCAAAGAAATTGTCTGAAGCCTTCCATCTCTTCGCTACTAACGAAGTGCTAATGACAAGCGACCGTAAGAGCGATTTTTGCACGGAATTCGATCCCTGGCAGCGCATTTCAATGGATTATGAGGTAACCTTCGAAGAGCTTCGTCGGATTTTGCTTCCCGGATTCGTTTTTCAATTCATCATCTTTCCTTTTCGAATCGACTCCGAAGAAGTGGATGCGGGAGACGCCTGCCGTATCCATGCGAATCAATTTCGGCTTGTTTATCAGTCAATCAGTCGCCGGCCCACGTGACTCACTCGATCGTCCGTTCTTGATGCCCGGCTTGTACGGGAGGGCTAGTGTCTGTGCGGAGTCCGTGCCTTCGAGAGGTCCAGACTCTAGACTCTGGAGCTCAAGACTCTAGTGTATGAAAGCGAAAAATTATCGAGCGCCGACCGATCTCGGGCTGATTGGTACTTGGTACCCTACTGTGCTTGTCAGCCTTCGGGTATCTCGACAGCTTCTCGGACACTACCCCCGGGATGGGAGTTTAAACCGAGAGCATTGCAAGGCTGAGAAATAATTGGCACAATGAATCGGATTGCAGGAACGATACGCTTAACCATTCAGGACCAAGCTATCCTCTCCCTCACGAGACACACAGCGTCGCGGCTGCTTCGTCAGGCCAGGATTCTCATCACGAGATCGTGAACGAAGCTCATCATGTGGAGAGTCATCACAGCCCGTCGTCGAGTATCACTGGTTTCCTGCAACCTTTCACCGTCGAGTACAACATTATCTTGGCTGGCGTTTGGTTCATCGTATGGCAGAATATCGGCAGAGGTATGACGATCCCTCGAGTGGTTCTCGAAATTGACATCCCCCATCCCGAATTCCCGCGGGAGGACAGAGCGAGCATTCGAGAGGATGCCGATGACACTCTTAGGAAGACTTCCGTGCTTGTGGCACGGCCGAACCTATGGGGGTTATCCTTTCATCAGTAGGGCCTATCCCTAAGAGGATCTTCTTTTCAAGGACCCGAAGTTCAAGTTCGACGAGAATCCATTTGCGCCATGGGGCAGGATGCGCGGTATCAGAGCAATCTCGTGGTCAGCGCTGATTGCCACGCTTCTAATAAAGGATTATTCGCCGGTCTGTTCTTGCTGCTCGTCTCGGTGGTCGCCTTGGTCATCGCCCAGGTAAGGCAGTCGAAAGCAGACAGCGAACATTTGGTCCTGCTTCTTTTTTTTTCTCCTTTTCTCCTCCTTCTCGTCTCCCTCCCTGACTGATTCGCTCTCACGCGGAACTCTTGATCAGAAGCCTGGGTCTTGGTCCCCCCTTCCCGTCCCCATCTCTACTTAAGTAGGCATAGATTCACACCGTAGACCCGAAATCCAACGCACAGGCTTAGCTGACCCCTGCTTAACCCGTCCTAGACCCCTCACGGAAACTTGCAGGAGGCGCAACGGTCCAATGAGGGTTCCCCACAGGTCGTAATGGTGCAGGAACGCTTCCGGAGAGCGGAGCTGATGATTTTCCTCGTCCAAGACAACATACTGATAATCGTGGCGCTATTAGCCGTCTGCTGGGCGTATTGGCAGATCCGAACACTCGATTTCAGCGTGCATCCGATCACGTTACTAGACGACGTTCTACTATACGTACCACTCCCATTCTTCTTCATTTACTTCTTCATGTCGTAAGTATCATTCGGACCGCTCCCTGGAAGACGAATCCACTTACGAGCATAAAATACTATATTTGATAAACGTCTCCGATTCGAAAGGATGATAGCGGACATCTACTCAACGAAACTGTCGCGAGTGAGCAGCAACGTCATCACAGTAGTTCAAGTTGTGGTAAGCTCTCTCCGACTTCTCTCCATTAGGGTAGCACGCCGATGCTGATGACTGGTGGGGGATGGGGTGTTTGGGACGTCGGAATGCTGATGCGTCAAGTAAATGGAATGATTGTTCCTTCTTCCATCAGCTACAAACTCTGTTCTTATCGGATGGTCTGAGACGATGCAGTAATCAGAGGAGACACCAATTCTTGAAACCCGGTCGGGAACTAGTAACCTTCCTCATCATCTGCAACATCACGATGTGGGTCACAACCACATTCAAGACGGATACCCAACACGAGAGCGAGAGTGCAGAAATAATTTTCGGCAAGAATGTGAGTAGAGTGTTCCAGGCCCATTGGAATCCACGGGACTCATCCCTGCCGTCCAATGACGGATAAGTCTCTCTCCCTCCACTGATTGAGGGCAAAATAGATTCGAGCAATAACAGGCTCCTGGTAACATTTTCCCGCGAATTTTACAGTGCTGGATCCTCGTCAAGCACGCGACGCTGCCCCTAATGCTGTTCTACAGATTCCACTCGTCGGTGTGTCTTTCCGACATCTGGAAATCAGCTTACGAAACCGGCGAATAATTTCGACAGACGGGGTCTGACTCAGTCTTGCACGAGGTCAGCTTCCATCGAGAAACCGCTCGTTGGAACTTCCAGATGGACCTGCTGGAAACGATTGCATGAGTCGTTAAGGGGTGTCACTTAGATACGACCGAGGTCCGCTGGCGCGTGACTCTATCGAGAATAGTTGTTCAGGCTGTGAATCTGTAATTAAAACTCCAGCGGTATTTATTCACGTTTCGTAGAAGAATACTCGGATCTTACGTTAAGGTTTTCGAGAACTCCTGCGCCAAGGGTTGTCATGATTCTTCGCTTCTAATGGATACGCAAGGGATTCGAGAGCCCTTTTTCTCATTCGCCGCAGCTTGCGGCAGAGCGATAGACTCCGGATGAATGGTGCATAGGTCGAAAGTTTTCAACCCCTTGTACATCGTTCCACCAGCGGCGGAATTGACGTCTTGGACACTCGATTGAGAGCTCGAGCCGATAAGAATTCCTGATTGCCGTCCGCGATCCACACGAAATCAGATTGGAAAACGCTCTCGAATAAATAAGTCCTATTCCTGGATTTCCGTCGTGATACCTTGTTTCCTTCGCTCCGGTTAGAGCAGTGGTTTAGTCTGCGTGAGGAAAGGGGGGGAGCGACGCGGCGGCTTGGCTCAGGAGCTCCGATTCGATTCCAAGCGGTCCGGCGATCGGGATGTCCCACAATGGAACGTCCGTGTCGTAAGTCGGAACGTCGTACAGATTTCTATCCAGCAGATCCCGGCTGTCTCCGGGGGCGGCTCCCTGATGGTTTCAGCCGAAACTTCCGGGAGGAAAGCTCTGAGGGGTAAGTTTCCGTAAGGGACGTTAGCTGACGGATGTCCTCGCACAATTATTAGGGGCTGCGAGGACGAATCTCGGCCACTGAGTCCGGAGACGAAAGGCGCACCGAATTCCTGCTTGACTCCGTTCGAGAGCCTACGATGCTTCCGTGACATGATCTCTGATAACGTCAGAGATCGGTCTCAACCGACGGAATCATAAGCCGTTCTAGAGCAGCCTCCGTGGCGCAATCGGCTAGCGCGTTCGGCTGTTAACCGAAAGGTTGGTGGTTCGAATCCACCCGGGGGCGATTCGAAGGATCGAAATTTTCCGTCATGCTCAAACACCCATCAACGACGGATTACATTCGCAGCCTCTCGGGACGGAATCGGAAATGAGTCAGATGGTGGGAAGAACTCCATCTCGCGAGGATGACAATTGGGTTAAGGTATCCTTCCGAATGAACGGCCCTGTCGAAGATTCCTGGTGGAGGCCACGCATTCTTCGACCTCATATAGCTATTCCCCACTTCCCGCACTCAGCGTCCGTGATGAAGTACGGCTCGGAATCCCCTATGAATATCTTAATACCCATCAGTCCGTCGGTTCGAGAGAATCACGGATGGGGACGAGTTCCAGGATCTCTTGACGTTATCGGCCTCAAGCAATTTCATAGGCGGCATCGTCCCAAAAATGTTCGCTTCCCGTAGCCTCACACCATTTCCCTCGACCTATCTGTGCAATCATCAATAATCGCCTTTGAGCAGTGTTGATTACATGAAGATCTGAGTTTCCGAAATCACCCGGAGCCGCACCGTGATCGAGCTCGCTCGGGACGGGAGCATCATTCAGCGTACCTAACTCACTCGACCCGTTGCTCTGTTATTTCTGGAGAAGGGCGAGCGTCACCGAGAAGTTTGGATCAGGCGCGGGCAGTTTCGAGGAAACAAGACTCTGTCGAGGTCACCCCGACGGACGCGCAGAGAATCGGTTATCGATTCATATACATCGCCCCCGATCATCCTCCATGACTGGTCCTCCGTAACTTTTTCCGGATACTTCGATATAAACTATATTTCAAGCAGATCAAGTCCGACCGGGACCTCATCGGACATTCAAGCGCGACGAGAGCGACTTGAGCTGGTGTCGGTGCCATGTGACTCCATGTCTGAGAACGAGCTCCGAAGTAGGGCATTGCTGATTCAGGAGCAAGCTTCGAGCCTCTCCGAGTCAGAGTAAATCGGACGTTTTCCAGCGATCTCTTTATTTACTTGACAGTCCATCATAATTAATCCACTAGCCTCGCGCTGCCGAGAGTCGGTCACCCAAGAACGATTCCTATCGGGATCAAAGATATCGGTGTCGGGAGAATCTGCTGCGGCAACTATTTTTTCAGAGATGCACGTTTTCCTTGTCCTTTCTTCGGAGGACCCTTCCCTCGCAGTTTCCTCAACCGCTTCATCTCCTCTTGGAAATCCAGATGCTCGTCCCGAAATAAACCGTGTGCTCTCAACTTCAGCATAAGTCTGTTATACTGGAAGAGCGGCGGGTAATACTCGATCCATTCCTGGAAGGGGGACACGTCTGATATCAGGTCCACTGACGTTGTGCGAAACGAAATTCGTAACACAAAGAACTCCTCCTCTTGGAACCACCGAATAACCGGACTTCCCGCTTCATCGGACAGGAATCCGATTCGCCGAATCAGGCTTCCAGATCAAAATCACTCAAGTTGGTTAGACCAACCGCTTGTTGGGACCGAGAAGGCTCAGTCCCGATGTGGACCAATTAAGCGGAGTCCATTGTGATTCCTCACGGATTCCGAATCGCCACATTCGCTCCATACTGCTCTTCTCTCCCATGATTCTACGCTCACTCACCTTCTTCAGATCCATCGGTTTCTCGGCAAATCGCCTAACGACCTGAGAATTTCCGCCAGCAACTGAAGCCGCGTAAGGCTCGCCGAATATCCGGGCCGACAACAAGGCCATACGTCTAGCGTAAGCCGACATTTGGGAAAGCCTCCTCTGAACAACAGGAGTGACCGTCGCTCAGCTCAACCACATGTACCCGATCGATCAACTTGGAGAAACCTTCCAGAAGTCAACTGGGTGCGCGTGTTTTGGGGGACCTTCTCTATCGTTTTAGAGAAGGAGGCCGCCATTTTATATTTTGGCGGCAATTTTCGAATGAGGCTGCCGGCTGCAGAGCTTTCCTGTCCGCGACGCCGTCCCTTGAGCACGCGGACGGACGTCGGTCGGAGCTCCGACTGATGAACGGCGCGAACCATGACCGGTGGCACGCATGAGAGCGATAATCACTGTGCAGGTCACGGACTTTTACCGTAAGTTTATTTGAATGGGTGTGATTGAGCCAGGGAGAAGATCTGGCGTGCCAGAATCTCGATGCGGTTCGAGCTCTCTAATCATTCCAGATGCTGATGAGTGACTCCGATCCTCTCGACATGCATTGTTTTGCGATGGTGAGCGTCGGCATAACCGACCAGCGTTCGAGCGAAATAATGAAAGATATAGGAAACCCCGATGCTGGCGGCTAAGAAGATGGGTCTGGTTTGATTGTTCAACTTTCTGAGCATCCGGTAAACCCACACGTTGTGATGCGAGCCCAACCAAAGGACCCTGCGGATGATAGAAGCTGTGAGCGGGTGCTACTGGTTTTAGTTCTCTCCTGGTCTCAGACCTAACTCAACACGCCGATGCCGACGCAACCTTCCTTTCAATAAATCCTGTCCCTCACGATACTCGATGTCGATTCAGATTGAGAAGTATGACAATGGACCCTGTTCCAGGTTCAAGTCAGACTAAAGACTGGTATAAAAAAAATCGTCCGGTGACGCGAGACGCGAATCATGATCTTCATCGACCAAGGCGCTTCATATATGTCGTACTGCCTCCTGTATCACTGAGGAGACTTTTCGAAGAGTAGATCCGCTTAATGATAAGTTGCGAATGAGAAAGGCTGATCAATTGTGTTTGGAATTCGGTCAATGAAATCGTTGACGATAAATTTTTGCTCATATGCATCAATCTCATTCTTCAGCATGGGAAGCGAGAGTCATCTCCACTCACATGGATACGTAGGATAAGACCACGACATTATAGAGGAAGAGGCCCGTTCTTTGAGGCGGGACCTTGAGATGAAGCGCGAAGAGTGTCACGATTGCGAGAATCGTCGGACAGGTATGCTGGAATCGTCCGAGGTATCAGATGGAATCTTAGAGAGCAGCTCGGATATATCGTCAGGTTGTGTAACGGCTTCCGAGATCGGGCTCACCACAGAATGATTCAGCCACCATGGGCTATTAATCTCCAGCGAGCGCGGATAGATCAAATCCTTATTATAGGCATAGACGCTCCAGAATAAGGCTGACACAGTCATGGTTAGCGGCAAGCACACATTACAGAAAATCATACTGAACACGAAGTCCGATGCTTTCGAACTTCTGAACGTCGTCCAGAATCCATAAGCATAGGTCAGAGTGTTCATCAACTGGAAGATATACATCGGACGGACTTAGTTCAGTTCCTGCCCGCCGGCGTCTCGGCTCCACCACAAAATTGACATCAACAACCGAGACTGCTGAATAGTGGAGTCTATCGAAGGAAACGCACCACATTCCACGACGTCAGATACATCAACGATATAGGCTGTCCGGGAAATTTTCTGGTGAAGACCGACACCTTCTGAGTGACAATACTATCGACTACCGCGACCGTCAACATCCATCCCGAGACAAGTCCGAGGTAGCTGCGTTGGAAAAATCTTGAGCTCGGGCGTTCATCGCATTCGCATGCGCTCACGGAAATCCCACGGACGAAGGAACTTCGTTGTTCCATGGTTCCCGGGAGATAACGGATAGACGGGACTCACGATCGGACCGGAGATCGCAAGAGTTCATCTTATTCTATCTAGGTAGAAGATACTCCCATCATAGCGTATAGTTCCATCGTTCCAGAGACACCTCCGACTCATCGAAACTACCTCTCGAAACCCTGTTCGGTACCCCTGGCAGGGCAAGAGACCGATCTCTCTCGCTCACTGGAACACGAAGCTCCACGCTGCTTCCCCTGATGCAATTGTACTCCATATGCTGCTCACCAGGTCACACACTTGAGATCGCTTTCTAAAGTCCTTGAAGGGAAGATGGGTGTCTCGAAATCGCGAGACATGGGGGATGGGAGCTCCGAATGTGGAACATCTAGACTTGGATGTGGCTTTATCTCACTCCGTAGTGTATTTGGGAGAATAAGTGACAACAATCGACGTCAACTGCATATAACAAGTATATTTATTATCAGCTTATCTACCATGTTAAAAATACGTCGCCCGCTTGGTACGCCTATCGGGAAGCTGCTCTGGTTTTCTCAAACGTAGCGGACTTCAATCATGGGTATAATACAGAGATCGCCCAATACTTCGAGTTCAGGAGGCGCTGAAGGACGGCTCTCTCTACTCTCCGGCCCTTATCCTCGGGAGATCAGCGGAGAAATCCATCTCAACCTCTGACCCTCAGTATTCGACGATCCATCCACGAAATCCCCTTCGTCGAATCATAATGCCAAGAATCACAAATTAGCATTCGTCCAAAACCCCGGTATAGATGATTGTAGTTTTTTTATATTATTTGATATGGAGAGTCTCAGAATAGTTATCCATTACTGTTTATCGCTGCTCTTTGGCTATGATACAATAAAGCGCACACAGAACTCGAGCTCCCCACATCCGAGAACACCCGGAATTCCGGTGCTAACTGTTTCAACAAGCTGCCTTCAGGGCTTTTTCTGCAAATGCCTCTGGTGGGATCAAACGTCCTTTGTGTGTTTTCTTCACGTTGACAAGGTCATGTACAAGTCAATCTCTCGCTAAGACCACAACGCACGCGAGCTCTATACCTAGAAGTAGAAGTATTTACAACCCGATGCTCCGAACTTGTTTCCGCGGAGTGTGACACTCGCACAGACAGTCGTGAACATTGAAATATTTACACTAATCAGTCATTGGGTTCCGAGTTGGAAAGAGCGGCGTAGCTGTCGAACATTCATCTGTTCGGTGGATAATTCGGTCGTTCGTACGGACAATCGGCCGGTCGTTCGTTTGTTGGTTCGTTTGTGTGGGTGGGTAGATAGTTATCACAGAGGAATAAGTTAATAAACGATGCCGTGTTGCATGACAGCTCGGTTCCATAGCGGATCGTTGGAACTCATTGAAAGACGATCAGAAGACGATAGAGGAATCTTCGGGAAACAGAGATCTTCTTACTAGAAACGGAGTCCGATAATTTGAGATCGGATTGACACAATAAGAAGAACCACGAATCGGTGTCGGCGCTGATGACGATGCAGAGGAAAATTCCGAGACGGCATCCTCATTCGAGCCTCAAGCAGAATCTAGCCACCTAGATAATCCTAATGCCCACGAAGAGCGAATTCTACGGACTCCCTCATCATCGTTATCAGCACCGCGGGTTCCGTTCTCATTGCAATTATAAAATCACGTCAAGTCAGCTGTCAGCGAAACGAGATGAAATGCCTATCCGGAATGTTGACGAACTTGTTGTTTTCCTTCTTGTCGAGTAGGTTGTATAGGAGAATGTGTCGACGACCACTCCGATGCACGATTTTGTGGGTGCATCCTATCCCCGTGAGGAACAACAAACATCTCTCTCTGCGTGAGAAGCGACGCGCGACTGCTACATCTCAATAGGCAACCGCCTCGTTCGGTTGCTTCTGCAACAGAGTGACGGGGAAAGATCCGTCCTGGAACTTGAAGTGGCGCTTGTCGTAGAACTTCAGCAGCGCAGGGCTGTAGGGATGGTTGTCCTTTAGATGGAGGTAGTGAACTTCGGGCTCGTTGGTGGTGTGACCGCATTCCTCGCACACGTAGACCTTCTGCCTCCGCTCCTTGTACGCGTACTGGTGCTTCGCACCGTGAACCTTCAACGAATGCGATTCGAGCGAGCACCGTTGAGTGAAGGACTTATCGCACATGTTGCACTTGTACGGACGGACACCAGTGTGAGTGCGCGTGTGCCTCTTGAGGTCGAACGTATCGTTGAATCCCTTGCCGCAGAATGTGCACAGATAGCGCTTGACGTCGCTGTGGCACTTCATGTGACGGTTCAGGAGACGTTGGAGTCCGAACGACTTGCCGCACACCTTGCAGGACAGCCTGAAACAGAAAACAGAACGGTCAGTAACGGTCGCCGGAAGTCCAAATTAGAAACAGCCGCTTAGGCAACAAATCTCGTCGCGGCGGCATTGTGTCGTCGTCGGAAACAGCTGCCCCTGCTATGAGCGCGACCTGAATCTACCGGCCGGCCGAACGAACGGCCCCTGCAGGTGATTTCTGTCACTTTAACATGGGAGCGGATGGTCTTGCTCGTGGGGAAAAGAAGGCCAGGACGTCGTACAACACAGCAGAACAGGCGGACTGCTTCTCGGATCGACGTCCAAGCATCGTAGACGCTCACGGGCGAACTTCTGCTCGGTCGCAAACGCGCTCCGTAGCGGCGCTTCACGTAATTGAGACTTGCTACGAAAGAAAAACGGTCCGCAACCAGAGAACGATGCGATAGAAATAAAGAACCGTAGTGGTACGGTGGCTCATTGCACGTTGGAGGCCGTTGAAGCCGTTAAATACAACGGTTTTAAGCGACAGCGGACACCGAAACAGAGAACCGTTCACACGGTCACAGAGCGTATCTAGACGGATGGATGAGTGAGCTACAGAGAATCATCTGCCCCATTCACTTGCCCCACCTGTAACGGGAGGTTCACGGCGAACAGACTGAGATTGACGCTGAGAATGCGACAACATCGGTGCAGAGCCAACTTTCCCACCGTCGTGCGTCATTTCGTTTGAGTTTCACTCGAAAGCCAAAGTACCGTTCGGGTGACGCAATCATTATCACGCCGATGGATTTGAGAACTTCTCAAATCCATTCAAGAGAGCCCTCCACCAGCCTGTCCATGGAAAGGGACTGACGGAGGGATAGAGCCAGTAGTAGATTCAGAGCCAAATTCGGCTACTTCAGAAAGACGGCACAATCTAGCGGTTTTCAGAATGATCACATAAATTCGAAAGGAACGATGTGAGTATCTCTTCGGCTTGTACCGCTCGACTCTATTGGGTGTCGATGAATTTTCTGTTAACGGTTCTCCGATCGCAATAGTTGAGAAGGAAGATACTGCATAACGGAGACCTTGTCCAAGTCGGATACGACGACCTTGGATTTTGACGAAGCAATTATACTGAAGATGGCTAAGCGATCTTCTGTCTGGCGGACTGCCGCTCGGCTCTGCCGAAAACGGGTAGCATCGAATGAGTCTCTTCCGCCGGGGAAATGCGGCGTATTCTACGACGGATTCCGGCAAACCTTATATACGAATATAGTTGCTATTCCTCGTCGGATCTATCACCTCCAGAGCAAGCCGCAGACGTGTACGAGAACAAACACAGCCACCGGGAACATCACGACGTCGACAGTGAGAACACCGAAAACGTTGTCGACGCCAACAGTGCTACAATAGCGACTGAATCAGCAACGATGACTGCGGAATGCCAACAAACGGATGCGAATGTCCTTGGAGCAGAAATTTCGGTACTGAATTTGCATTGCGCGCGCTATGGAACAGATGATGGAAGACGACTCCCCGGAATCGTTAATCGTGTTCCGACTCAGGTCTCAGAAAAAAATGAGAGGAATAAGATTGATAGACACGAGAACCGCTTCCGTCTTTTCGTCCGTCCTCAAATTAGCGTCCATATTTCGCCGTTGCCCCGACCGACGGTCCCGCCGCCGCTCCGTCTTGGGAGCTATAGCTAATTGGAATCTGATGATATGTTCTTCGAGAAGAATGGAACACTCACTTATCGTTTCCGGCGGGGACAACGGTGGAGGAGGCCGTCGTTACATGGCATTCACTGCTCAGGTTCTGGGGCTGCTCGTCCATTGACGAAGACGTCGTCGAATCGATCGAGGCGCTCGATTGCGGGGGTGATGATCCCTGGGGTAGCGCTTTCTGGTTGAGGAGTGGGTTCTTGATGCCGTGTCCTCCGTTTACGAATTCGATGGAGGCGGCGTGGGGAATGCCCATCTGCAATGGGGAAACAAGCAGTGCGTTAGCGAGTTCCCTTCTTCGTCACAGAACGGATATCCCCTCTCGACGCGCGATGCAGTTACCGCGTTTCTTTTGATGTGCCTTCCCCGAGAAAGAATCCGAGCAGCTGAGAGAATGCTTACCCGTTGTTTCAAAACTTCAACCCGAACTTGCAGCCCCGGGCTCACTGAATCGACTCCGTTGCTGTGCTCGTCGTCTGATGTCATACTACTCACTTGTTCTTGACGGGACCAATCTCCGTTGGGAGAAGATGGGCTCTGGAGTTCGGGACTCAAGCAAGGATGGGGCTGCATGAGGGGGGTCTTGTAATCGGACGGTGCGAACTCTTGCATGTGGGCGTAGTCGGCGCGCAGGTCCTCGTACCCGACGGGGTAGTAGGGCTGCGGTCGCAGGGGGGTTTGCATCTCCTGGATGACGGGGACCCTTTGCGACGAGAAAGGTGAATGATGGTAGGCGGGATGGCCCAATATGGGCACGGTCGACGTGACCGTTTCATCTTCGCTCTCCGACTGAGGTGGGGTAGTCGAAGAACGGTTGACAACCGGGAACCATTGCACGACACGTTGATTCTCCGGCCGCTCATCTGCGGGAAGAAAGAGAAAATCACAATTGAAACATCTCAATGGAACGAATTGTGTGAGCCGACGGGCATTGACTGACTGCCCGAGCGAACGACCGACCGCCAGTCGGTGCGTCCGCCGAAGATGGGTGGACGCACAGACGAACGTAGGGCTTCGGAGAAGAAAAAAGACGACGACGACGACGAGAACCACGGCGAGAGAAGATCGAGCACAGGAAGAAGAATCACCCAGCGGGAGAGCACCCCTCTATAAAAGCGTTTTAGCGCCCGCGGCAGCTTGCTCGTTCGCTTGCTTGGCCCATATGCGCACCCATATGGCGCTCGACAGGCCGGCCGGCCGGCCGGCTTGACGGACGGACGGGCGGACGAACGAGCAGCCAGGCAGCCGTTCGTCTAAGACCGTTAGTTCACGATCTTTGCCCCTTTAGAGAGGAACATTCCTCCGCCAATCATAAGCTTCTCAGAATCCGATCCCCCTCTTCATCTTGTTTCTAAGCGAGAATGGCTCGTAGCCAACTGTGAATGCGGTTCAGCAGAGTTTTCTTCGAGGCGGCATCCATGCGTGCCGCCGACCTGCATGCATACTACCGGAGTGCCGAGCACGTCGAGCTTCGCGCTCGCTCGCTCGCAAACCATAGACGCGGACCGCGAGCAAGCTTCCGGAGAATCGACGCGAGCAACGGAACCTCGAGACTCGAGTGCAAGACCCAGAGGCGAGGAGAGATCGAATCCCGGCGAAAACGAGGAGCTTTGGCGACATGAACTGGAATATCGTGATGATAAAAGAGGCTGGCTGCTCTAACTGCTCAACTGGCGTTCGACAACAGCCGGCCGAAAAAAAGAAGACGCTTGTGTGAAGATAGAAGTCGTTAACGGTCTCAAATTCAGCTGCTCGGATCTGCGGACAGCCACTTCAGCTTCTCTTGTAGGCACTAGGTAGGTAGGTAGGTACGTTCGTACGAACGTCTGCCTGTCCGTCTTTCCGTTGGTGCCGGCCTGCATGCACGAGCACCATTGCCGACAGCCAGCGGCGAGAGAAAAAATCTAGTTCATCTCACGTACGGGCTAACGGCGGGGCCGTCGAGCAGCCTGAACCGAGAGTTTCCTTCCCAGTGCCCGTTACGACGATGGACCTTCAAGGACGTTCCTCCGACGTCGTCGTTGTTGTTGTCGCGCTGCCGTCACCGCGACCGCCACCAGCGACAGATATTTCCGTCGATGCTTCGCAGATCTCTTCTAACTCATGCTATTTGAATTTATCATTGAGAGAGAGGTCCAAATTGAAACGACGACGGATGTCACATCTCCTGGGGCCTTGAAGGCGATTTGGTTCCCACCGAAAGTAGCGTGCGAATAAAGCCAACCGAATAACGGTCGGTCGCCCCCGGAGGCTTCTGAGGGTTGTCGAGCGGAAACTTCGAAACACTCGTAAGTCGCACTGTAGCGGCGTTGTTGTCTCCGAGCGCTTCTGTAGATCTTTGTGAATGTCTCAGGGGAGAAAAAGCCGATCAAGCGAGCGACAGAAGGAATGAGTGAACAAGCGAGCCACCGGATTAATGTCGGTGATCAACAAACATTCTCCACTCCGCTGATTGAGTCGCTCACTCGAAACTCTCGGTCCTCACGCGCGTTCTCAAGCTGACTGAGGAAGCAAAACAATCATTGACAAGGAGAGTAATAGAATGAGCAGGCGTAGGAAGTCACTGGCTTGTAACCGAACCTGCTTTAATGAGAGTAGCAGCAGGTTGCTTGCTTGAGCGCTGTTCTCTATGAAGGTGGCTGGAGGCAAGTAAATGTGGGAAAGTTCCCAGCTTGTGCATTGAAGTCTTTTGGGGCTCTTTTTCGGTGACCAGTGGCCGCGCTTTGCTGGACGCACAGCGGAAACTGGAGGCACCTGCCTGAGAAACTTAGTGGGACAGCGGTGACGGTAGAGGTAACAGCGGCAGCAGAAGGAGGAAGGGGCCTCTATCCTCTCGTTCGCTTGGAACAATCATGGCCTTGAACAAGTGCAATCCACGAGACCATCCATATGGGCTTCACTTACAAGCCTTCGCGGTATCGCTCGGCGAGTTCAGCGGAGGCATTCTTTCCGATATACCTTCGGCTAGAGCGAGCACCCTCTTCGCTTTCGATAAAAAAAAACGAGAGCAACTCCGAATACCTCAGCTGTTGAGCTGTCCGCTCTCTCTGCGAATAAATCAGCTGAGTGATGACATCACCCCGGATCGTCCGTATAGCAATGGATAATGAGATTGAAGTGCCGGGAACAGTTGCTAACGAGCAAGAGCGGAACAATCGGAACGGTCTGGATTAGTATTCAAACGTATTATTGCCTAGATGACGGTGCGGTGGCGACGGCCGCGGCGGGTTGATCTCGAGAATCCGCCGAAACAGTTTTCCCGTGATTGGAGGACCATCAGCGAGCGTTCACCGCCTTCCTGCTCGGGGAGTTTCGGTTACATAAGCGACGATCTTCCGCCTAGCAACCTTCGGCTGCGAGCGTCACAGTCGAGCGCTTGCACCGAGAACGCCAATGTCATTGCGAATAACTCGGATGCGTGCTCGGAGCGTCGCATCCATGTTCGATAGCCGCTCGGCACCGCCGTTTGATTTTCTCGCGCGAGTATCACGGGACTGAATCACGACGACTGTCCACGTCTTCATTATCGTGCACGCGGAGGGATTTCAAGAAGCTCGACGTTAACGACTTCCCCCGAAAAAATCATAAACATGATGACTTCGAGGATAATTACGCTCTTCGCTTCATCAAATCAATAATCATGGTCGAATTAATGGCCTCGTCAATTGCCACAATGGGAGTCTAATAGTCGTCAGAAGGAAAGCCCCAGAAATCGATGCTTGCGGTTCATGTCGCCACTTTCTTTGGTGACGATAGTGGAGACAACTCACCGACCGCTCAGCGATCGAACCGGTTTCCGTTCGACGGACGGTCAACGCTCGAACGAAAGTAATGGTCAAAAGGGTTCTCACTTTTGATTTCGGCTAATCGGCGATCGGAGGCGACGCTCTTCCAGCGCCCCAGAACGTCCAGTTCATGGAACGTTCTTGAAAATCCGCGTCACAGCCAGGATATCGCCTCAGCTATACATTGGCGTGATTCTCTACCGTAGAGGTTGCCCGATGGGCGTCACGGACTTCATCGCAAGAACCGTTGCCACGCAACCGTTTCGGCGTAGACGTAAAGTACTTTCGGCAGTAACGTCATCGTGTTGTTGACGTCACATGTTTTTGACGGTACGGCTGCGAAGATCCATCGGAAGATCGCAGAAGAAGCGCTCCGAGCTCGCCAGCGGACCGTTTTTCCTCCATCGTCAGATATTTCAAAAACGGCTGAATGGAAGCAATCGAGCATGACCGCTTCACCTGTTCTCCTGGTCAGGTAGCTACCGATCCTGCTGTCGCCGCCGGGGATTGTGGTTTTAATCACCAGCCGAGTGAGTAAGGCTCCACGAATTCCCTGGCGGTGATGCAACAGCGGAAGCGTAATACGGGACCGAAAGAGCCCGAACGAAAGTCATTGCTTGCTGTCTGTGAGCTTTCTTCCGGCGGCGGGCGCTTTCTCTGAGCAGCGGCAACATATGCTCACATAGTTTCTGCCAGGCAAACAGCCAGCCAGGAACTCACGAGAAGGTCGATAGGCAGATGATCGTTCACTAACGGTTGTCTTAAGGAGGAGACCGTTACGAGGTTCTCAGAAAGGCTTATTTCTGCCGGATGCCTGCCGCACAACACCCAGCATCGGCGACGACGACGTCGGGCCGGCACGCAGGCAGACAGGCATCCACAGAACAACAATCAACGAGCGAGTGGAGAAGATAAAAAAATCGAAGCTCTCAAGAGACATTCCTGCCACAAGGAAGAATGTGCGCCGTTGTGCCGATACCGCGGAGATTTATAGCACTATTGATAGAGAATGGATTCCGAGCTTCATGGAAGCTCATGAAGTTCCCCTTTGGGCACGTACAAACGGAGGTGTCGAAGCTACGCTTCTGAGACTTTGATCGTGGGCATCGATTTCGAGATTGCTGACGGTCAATATCTCAGCCGAGTCACACAGGTCGACAAACTCGACACGATCGATGGAAACCCGCGGTTCCTCACCGGGGCAGTCGGGGACGGTCTCTTGACGCGGACCTAAAGCTACGAGCTGAGCTTCACAAAACCTCTCGAATTCTTCGCATCTTCGCCCTCGGGGTTCACGGGTGTTCGAAATGCTACATACTATGCAACTCGAGTACTCTAAGCCGGGCTCCCAGGAAGGGTCGGAGGGACGTAGTTTGCGGAAAGGACGTCGGTCGTAAAAAGTAGGAGGTGACTTACCGATCACTAGTTCGTCTTCGGACTCCTCATGACTGCGTTTCTTGGTCGTAAGACTAAGGGGCTCTTCCTGCGCGGGAAGTTTCAGGGGAGCGAGTAGCGTTGGAGCCGACGGAGTCTGATCCGGACTAGCGGGAGGTGTCACTGGAGGACAGACCAGAGCAAGTGGCTCGTCGGGGCTCGAACTCTCAATTTGCAAGGCTCTCTTGGCCGCCAATTCCGCCTGCTCTTTGGCATGAGCGGCGAGAATTCGCTGCTTGCGGACGAGGAATGCTTTCGGCATCTTAAAGTTTATCCATGCGACTGTGGCGAACTTCTCCGGTGGACGGTGTTGCTTGAAAGTGGTGATGACGTCCCGTCGGTCGGTCGGATTTCAGAATCTGTCGCTATGAGATTCTCTTCCGCTGAAGTCCCACGAAACGGTAGGTGGACTTTGTTTTTGGTCGGGGGAAATCTGTTCTTCTGTTAGAGGAAGCGAAAATGTTCGACGGCACTTAGGCCCACCCGTGGCCGTATCCGGGAGATCACTAAGAAATTCTGGAGCCACACCAGAATAGATGGGATATTTTGGTGTTGCCGAGTGGCGAGGGAACACATAGCACCGGTCTACTCTCTCAACGGCCCTCTCCACTCTCGTGCAGAAGTACCGTCACTGAACCGAATGCGAGATGAAGTAACATCGGATCGCCGACATAATGTTATATAACTGACACAACAAAGCGGGAAAGGCCACCGAGCCGGGGGCAAATCGGTCCCAGAAAACTCATCCGAAAATTTTCTGAAAACTTCTGTCCGGGCTTGGAGTGCTCGGAGGATCGCGATCTGCCAGCGTCGGAGCCACTCCAGATCCCAAATCTTCAGGGAACTATGGCAATTCTCGATTTTCCCTTGCCGACCAGTCCACAGAAGTCCACTTCTGCAGGATCTGAGGGGATCAAGGCGTCGGATGTTTCGCCGCGCCCAGGAATTCGGGAGTTTCCCGGGTCGGCTTGTGACCCTTGCGCCTGCTGACGGCCGTAGGCATCTCTCAAAGAAAATATTATGAAGACGATAGTGTCTCCCAGCTGACCGCGTCAGAACGTTTCGCTTTGAGGAAATAAACTTTGTCCAGATGTCGTATGTCGTAAACGCATGCTGCCCCGTTATCTCAGGCAGATGCCCAGCAACCAATCGAAGGCGACAGAGAGTGAAGTTTTCTACTACGAAGTCTCAATGGGTAGGGCAGCATCTGTGTGACTAACTGAATGACTGGCCGGTCGATCGGCCGCTCGAGCGGGCGGGCGGTTCGGCTGACGAACGCGCTTGTGGCAGAAGGTCCTTCCGCAAACTCTTGCATAAGATAACAACAACAACGGTCGCTCCGAACACCAGAAGGTCCGATCGAGCTCCGCCGGCCAAGACGACGACCTAGTTCCGAGTCGGTCGCCCGAGAGCTCAAGCTGGCTTTCTCGCTCCGAAAGTTCCCCTGCAGCCTATAACCAGGCAAACGAACGATAGAGAGCTATAGGGGGAGAGAGCAATCAGGAATCCATACGACCAAATGACACCCCCTCTGCGCCTGGCCATTCTGCCGGAGGGTGGTGGTGACGACGACGACGCTTGTACCGAAAGATCGATTTGATTTTGAACGCAGAATGTACAGTTGCTCGACTGCTCTCTTCTTGTCCTTCGTCTTGGTCGTCCCCCATCGGAATGGAAGCTTCCTAAGAGGAGCATCGAAGATTAACGAAAACCGATCTGGGCGAGGAGTCGGAAATTTTCTCGACGGAGGACGGAGAGACGTCGGAGCAACCTTGAGCCTCCGGCACTGCTGATTGCTGTTTCTGTCTCGGAATTCGCATCATTGTTCTCTGATTGCCAGGCGCACAGCTCGCGTTGAGACGAGAACTTATCATTTCTACTTCTGCAATGTTCTACAATAGTACCCGACAACGGAGTACTACTACGACGCGGCGTAGGGGATCGCGTGCGTCAGATCGCTTGGCGTGGCTCGTCTGGAAAATGCCCCGAGAATAAATTGTAGATTGGCTTCTGAATAGCTACATGGATTCGTAAACGGACGGACTCATTCTTTTCACGATGTATCTCCTCAAGTTCTTCTGACGGATGGAGCGATGCTCGCAAACGCCGGCTCTCTTCGGAAGATCCCCCCTACTCTCGCCGAAACCTCCAAAATGATTTCCACGGCTGCGGCGATGGACTTGACGCCGATTCGCCAGCACGCGAAACGAGCGGACCGTCAAGAAGATCGACCCACGCGTGACGCCGATGAACTCTCCGGGCCCACGGAATTAGATACTTAATGGTGCGTCGTCTCTGGAAACGTGCGTACTTGTTTGCTCGCTCTATAGTCCGCTCGCAAGAACTACGTCACTTGCAAGGCAATCCGAGCTTTGCACGAACCGCTTTTCGCCGCTTGGCCGCGTTGACTTCCGATGAAATTCTCAAGTCGAAAGTCTCGGTCGGAACTTATGTCACGAACGACACGGTGATTCCGGCAGACACTTAAGTCATGCGCACAGGACGAACGGCATCGAATTCTGAATTCGGTTGTCGAGTGAATTGCCGGAGCCGTATCGATTACAGTTTGGGAATTCGCACACTTGTCGAATGACGACTCAGGGACCTTCACTGACAGAAATACGGTCGGACACTTAGACATTGAGTCAAGGCACAGCTTCAGGATCCGAAAGCGACAGTTCTTTTTGGCGTTTTCGCACCTCGGCACCTTCCTACACAGGTGTCTAAATACGTTGGGTTGGCTCCGACGGAAACTCTGCCTGTTTGTCCTCGTCCTCCTTCGCCTGTACTTTCGTTAGTTTGTTGTTGTGCTTCCATCCGCAGAGATATGGACGTGATTCGTTGAGGTATAAGCGTGCTGCTCAACCCTGTGTTGGCTGTTTAACAAAGTGTTGGTGTTGGCAAAACAAGGCCTGCGCCCCAGCACCAAGCGTCGACCTACTCGGTAAAGCTTTGCGACATTGCGATTCTCAAGGCAGACATTCAAGTATCGAGTGCGGTCCTCGTGGGATGTTTCTGGAGGAGTCGCTCATTGTTATCACGGTCAAGGCTCCCGACCACGTTCGCGATCAGCCGGCGGAAAGGGTGGAAGAAGGAAAACACGAGCCCGGCTCCGCTCGAGGGAGAGGATCGCTAGTTGTTCCGACCGCGGGCCAAGTTCAGGGCCACGCGACGCAACTGCTTCCGCCGGAGCCGCGGCGTCGACGATAACAACGGAGCCAGGCAAGCGAGAGGGAAACCAGAAAAACGCTTCCCGCGGAAAAAGCAAGAGTGCTCGCCGCTCGGACATTTTTTTCGTCCGATCGTTGTTTTCCGAAGAGCTATCCGTTGAAGCAGATATCTTCTCGCGCTGGAATACTCAGACGACGCTCGAACTCAACGGAATGATAGCTGTCGGCTCCCATAAGAGATCGATCTCCCCGACTACCCGAGCAAGAAGGAGGGAATGAAGACGAACGTCGAGCTGACCCGTCGAGAGGAGCCACAGACCTGAAGCTCGGATCATTCTGGCTTCATGATAATTTCCGATTCCGACTCGTCGTTCGATTCCGCTCGAAGCGAACGGGAGACGATCGGTGATACACTCTGGGGAACCGAATCACCGGTTCCCGTAAGGATGGCCAAGTCCGTCATTCGGAGAAATGTATACAGGTGCCAACAGTCGGACGGACTTCCAGCTATTCCAATACCATGACTCATGATCCGGGCGGAGACGAGGGATGCCCGCTTGCCGAGACAACGTTCGAGTCACTGGCGAGGTCGGTCCGATTGGCAAGGAAGCACGGACGGAATGATGTGTGTGGATCTCGGACGTTTCTGAAAGCTTTCGGAATCGTCTCACCCTCCGTGTTATCGAGGAATGAAAATGAGATTCTGTGCAGCTCCTTTTACTTTCGATTCCATGACCGTTCCCCCTCTCGATTCCTCCGCTCGGATCTTAACGATGCGACGGCGTAATTCGCTCCAATCGACGTCGAAGTAGCTGTTCCGATCGCTCTTGGAATGCTTCCTCGCCGCTCATCATCCCACCGTTCCTCTCGTCCGGTCCAAGGGTACATGTTTCCAGGTGCATACTTCTACTTTCAACTCTGCGAGAGAAACATTTACCAGAAAATGAAGAGAGCGACGAGACTATGCGAGAACGAACCCAATACACTCGCATGTTCCAGAGGAAGATACGAGCGTTGAGCGAAAATGAGATTTGATGAAAACGTGACCGACGCCTTCGGAAATGCAGGCCCGACCCGGCGCAGCGGAGACAATCGGTTTCTCGTACAATCGACTGGGCTCTGCCGCTGCTTCGCTTGCATGCGGTGCCGGCCGCTCGTGATCTTCGAAGAGAGGAACCTTCAAAAATTCTTGAATATGCATGGGGCACATGGAAATGTGATCACTAGCGTTGACCTTTATCCCGCGCACAGCTAACTGGTGGGGCAGTTTTCTGCGTTACTGCTAAGTGCTGAGCGAAGGGAAAACTTGAGGTGCGACGCTGCTCCTTCGAGTATCTTATCGATCCAGGGAAGGAAACCCTCGACATGCATGGCTCTGATTCGAATCGGGCATGATGGTACCCCCCCCCCTGCCGAAGAAGCGGGACATTGGGCGAGTGTTTCAAAATTCGAACTGGGACTCGTCGGTCAATACACCGGTTCCCCCTTGACGGCTTATCCTGCGAGAGAAGAAGATTCCTGCCACTTCCGGAAGAGTTTCTTCGGCACGTGCAGAAAACTCTTCGACGAGGTCGTACCGGAGCTCTGCTGTCAGATAGGACCTTGGTTACGACGCTCCTGGGGCTGCCCACGAGCCTGATCGACCGGTGAATCGAACGTGGATACATGTTTATAGGTGGAGTCGAGGTATGCAGTTCGCAGAATCAGACCTTCTCCCGATATCAGCGCGTAATTACCTAATCGTCTCCATCATTCCTGACCGGGAGCTGAGAAATCTCGAATCCGAAGGAACGACGAAGTGTCAGCGAGAGGACGAACATTTTTTTGTCAGAAACATAGGCTTCTGAGTTCCAGGCGGGTCGTCGTGCTCACATGCGGCTCGATGTCGACATCGCGATGGCGCGCGTGTTGGACCTTTTCGTCGAGTGCGCCCATCGGAGACGTGTGGACAGAACCCATTTGTACTTATGTATAGACGTCTTCCTGAAAGAATTCGAAGTAAACACTGAACCGACTTCTAGAGTCCCCCTGTATCATTCTTGCGGCCCGCATAGCATGGCCAACATGTGGCAATTTTCATCGGATAAGATCG